AAGACTTCTTAGCCAGAGTTGCCCGAGTTATTTCAAATAACAAATAAAATCGCTATAAAATTATTGATAAGGAATTATTTGCTAGTAATTATATTACGGATAAATTTTATTCGAATAATAATCCAAATAACAATTCATTCGAATAATGTCCAAATCTGCCTACAGACGTTGCTAAATACATATACTTCGAGCATGCTGGTCTTTTGGTTCCTCTACTTCAATTCACTATCACATCGAACTCGACTCGCTTTGGTTTGCTTTCTGCACACATTCACTAACTACATACATACATACGTACTTGTTCACATTAACAAGCAGCGGCTTTAAATCATTATTATTGACATTCAATATTTAAAATGTGTTTTTTTTTTTACTCATAAATCTAATTTTAATTAATTTTGCGTTGCATTTCATAATTTGCCTTGAATTATTAAAATTGTTACATATGTGTCGTTGTAGTTGTTTTTTTTTTTTATAATTCTTGTCTTCCTTAATCTATGTATTTATGTATAGATATCCATTGAGTGTGGCATTTAAAATAAGCATCTAAACAATTTATATTAAATGTTTACCTGTATCTCTCCCTCTCTCTCTATGTATGTATATGTATCTGTACATGGCCATTAAACACTTTGATACTCATTTTGCACAATCTCAGCAACATTAAATGCATTTGATGTGCATTCTCATTACTCTGAATTACCACATAAACACAACTGATTACGTCATTCAGACATTAAAAATTTTGTATTACGTACTGATCATAATAAACAGTTAAAAGTACAATGACATACACAGAAAATAGCATTTGTTAGATTGATAAGTAAAAACATTCAAAACCATCACTCAAAATACTAAGCAATCTCTAAGGTTTTTTTTACCTTTAAGATGTGTTAACCGAAAAACGTCAAATTAATATTTTATTTACCAAAAATGTATGTAGGTTCTAAAACCTTGCTATTCGTGTAGAAATAATTTCATACTTAAGGGACTTTTTTTCAAAAATTTCTTTTTTATAAAGAAATAAAATAAAAATAATTTCGCGTTCGTTGATATGGTGATTAGGACTCGATACTCGTTCTGCGATTGCCGCAAAGAAGTACACAGCTTTAACAGAGGATTCTCACCCTAATAATTATTTTGTTACACTAAACCACTAGCGTTCTCAGATGAAATTGCAGAGACTTGAAAGTCTTACCTTTGGCATATCTGCCCGAAAAAATTCTCATTTTGATGCGCACAATTGACTTTTTTCGACATACTAAATACAGACATGCTATCTTCTTCATACATATTTACATACATAATATATATACGACTTTTAACTAAAATTTATATTTTTATATATTTTTGTGTATTTTTTAAACTAAATTAATATTTTTAGTCTCTCATTGGCTATATTTTCATATGCTTAATATTTTTGGTTTTATTGTATTTGATTATAAATATCATAGGGATTAGGAATATAACCTTCAGTATCCATAACTTAGTGAATTTCCTCACATTTAAGCAATCTATAAATATATTTATCAATAATTAAATCGGCAATTATAAAAATAAATAAGACTTAAATTCTGGCGAAAAATATATCAGCGGTAAATTTAGCAATGTTTATGTATAGATATAGATCAATGCTTAGGTTTGGATAGGCATGTCGACAAAGGTATCAATTAACATTTAAATACATATTTTTATATATAAATTTCTCTCGTAGGGAATTTCGAAAACTTTTTAAAAATTAGATTTTTCCTGAAATTTTAGCAAACAATAACAACATTATTAAATATATTTATTTGTAACTTTAGCAATACTTATGTATGTATATTGATTTCGATAGGCATGTCGACAAAGGTCTCAATAAATATTTAAATACTTATTAATATATAAACTTCTGCCGTAGGAATTTTCGATTAAGTGTTTTTTGATTAAATTTTTCCTGAAATTTTAACAATCGATAACAATTAAAAACAAATATATCGAGAACCAGATATCGATATGTATTTCTTTCTCTTTATCGATAACGATGTTTGTGTTGTCATGTATACAATTTTTAACTCTATTTTAAATATTTTTGCCTTTATTCGCAATGCAAAGTACCACGAATAGACTCCAAGAAGTTTGGGAAAAAGTGGATTGGGCCGTCAAAGAGCCAAAACTCAATTCTTAAAAGTTTTGAGCTTTCGAGTCGAATACGCGTAGCAATGTTACTAAGAATCTCTTTAATAGGGAAATGGGAAATTACGTTAATTAATTTATGCACATTTTATTTGTAATTGTAATTGGATTTATATGCTCATTTTAAAGTTACAAAACAACTCAAACTCACATCAAATCCTCGCGCTAAGCACTCAACGGTAACCAAACAATCGATAACATTTTCCCAGTGAAAACACGCATAAGCATTTCAAAACATCAACGCGTAGCATCCAATAGTTTTGTTTTGAAACATTAAACAAAAAAACGTTTAAATTAAAAACAACTAATAATATTTACATACATACATACATACTTCAGAGTGCATTTTCTTGTTATGACTGAGCACAACTACCTATACAGCACAAATACTCATACATCAATACGTACGTTTGTCCGATCCCATGATTCGTTTTATTCCATAAGTATTAATGTCAAAAAAAAAAATAACTTCTTACTAATTTGTGGTTATTTGTAAGCATTCATTCATATGCATACATACATACCTAGCTATATATTTACTTACATGAGTATAGTAGTATTGCACTGCGGTTGGGTATTTGTTCGCGCTATTTACCTATGTATATTTAATTATCTTTATATCTCGACTTTTCTCATTTGCTGCGCTCAGGCCAACTAGCCGGAGTTCCGGCACTGGTACACAAAACCAAAATGGTGGCGTCACACTACCGGCCGGTATTGCGGATGATCAATCGAAGGATTTCGATTTTGAAAAGACCGAAATGAAGTACGATTCGACGGGTATGTTCCACTGGAGTCCGGCTAAGAATCTAGAAGACTGCATACTGGTGAGCGTAACAAATTGCATTTAATTGCGAAAAACTATAATTCAATTTTTTTTTATTTCCGCCCTTACTTTTGCCATCAGGATCGCAATCAAGCGGCAATGACCGTTCTAAATGGTCATGTTGTCGTATGCCTTTTTGCCGATCCAGATTCGCCGCTAATCGGATTGCGCAATTTGGTGATGCCACTGCGCGCCTCAAACTTTCACTATCACGAACTGAAGCATGTGGTGATAGTCGGTTCGGTGGACTACATCCGACGAGAATGGAAAATGTTACAGAATTTGCCAAAGATATCGGTGTTGAATGGTTCGCCGCTGAGTCGCGCCGATTTGCGTGCCGTTAACGTGAATCTGTGCGATATGTGTTGTATATTGTCGGCGAAAGTTCCTAGCAACGACGATCCGACGCTGGCCGATAAGGAGGCCATTCTCGCGTCGCTCAACATCAAGGCGATGACCTTTGACGATACGATCGGTGTACTGAGTCAACGTGGGCCCGAATTCGATAATCTGAGCGCGACCGCTGGCAGCCCCATTGTGCTGCAACGGCGCGGCTCCGTTTACGGCGCGAATGTGCCCATGATAACAGGTAAACTGCATCGCACTAAGTTGGCTGTGTTTGCGATTAAACGACCAAATCACGCGCGACACGTTCATCCAGCCGGTGACGGATGGCGCAAAGTTGGCTGGCACACACATGGATGTCTTTTTTTTTTTTTTTAGTTAATATTGGTTTGACGAATTCTCCTTATCACATTGATTTGTATGTTTGTTTGATTGCGTGATTTTTTCGTATGCACTCAAGCACTAGATTTGTAGGTATGTAGTTAGTTAGAAAAATATATACGAATTATAGTAGTGAGCGCTTTGCAATGATCCAGATTTTCTGCAAAAATCCAAAAATAAAATACATTGCAAGGCATTCACGCGTCGTTTGTGAGCCAACTTTGTACCAATCATACGCCCGGTCATGAACGTATTAGTCGCATTAGTCTGCTCACGCCATATTCTACAATTCGCTCGCCGCCTAGTTAAAGGTCAAAGCGTTAAACTTTGTTTTGGTTGTTGTTTCAAGAACTGGTCAACGATAGTAACGTGCAGTTTCTCGATCAAGACGATGATGATGATCCGGATACGGAACTATATCTGACGCAGCCGTTCGCCTGCGGTACCGCCTTCGCCGTTAGTGTTCTCGACTCGCTGATGTCGACGGTAATTTAAATTAAACTACATACCAGTAGCTACCCCTACCTACTAACAAAAACAAATAAACAAACAGTTAAAAAATGAAACACCTGAAACACTATCTCTTTGGACCTCTTTTTGGGACTGCCTACAACTTTTGGGCTACAACTTGCATCCCACATACTAAATCAGTTTAATTTGCTCATTTATTTTTCGATTTACTCTAGACGTACTTTAATCAAAACGCTTTAACGTTGATCCGCTCTCTAATCACCGGCGGCGCTACACCAGAGCTGGAGCTCATACTCGCCGAAGGTGCTGGTCTGCGTGGCGGCTATAGCACCGTGGATAGTCTTAGCAATCGTGACAGGTTGGAATTTTAGTGGATAATATTTTCTATTCATTTTTTATCTATTTCGTTTGCATACTTAGATGTCGTGTTGGCCAAATATCTCTGTACGACGGACCATTGGCTCAATTCGGTGAATGCGGCAAATATGGTGATCTATTTGTGGCGGCGCTCAAGTCGTACGGCATGCTATGCATTGGCCTCTACCGATTTCGGGACACGAGTTCAAGTTGTGATGCGAGTAGCAAGCGCTATGTTATAACGAACCCACCCGATGATTTTTCACTACTGCCAACAGATCAGGTGAGCCTTAGTATAGTAAAATAGCAAGCTTTATGCGAAGTAGTATTGCAACTTTACAGAGTTTAAATTTTATCAGAGGTAAAGGTACAAGTAAAAACTTTGAAGTTTTCAAGGATTTTTCAGTACCAGTCAGAGATTTTTCAGACTATTCGTGTTTTACCATTCGAAAATTTTTCAAGATTTTTTACAAAGTTGCAAGATTTTTTTCGGAACACAAATTGTTCTATTTTTCGATATATTACGGCACTTTTTTAATTTTCTTGGAATTCTTTGGTGTTTTTCGAAATTTTTTCGTTACTTTTCTGGGTACTTGATGTTTTGTATCGGTATTTTTTCGATTATTTTTTTTTTAGTATACATAAATACTTCGGGTATTTTCGAAACTTTTTGGAATTTTTCGAATACTTCCCGTTCTATTTCTTCCGGACTTTTTCAAGATCTTTTTCGAGAAATCTCACTGTTTTTTTTTTGCTCGGAATAATATAAAGCAAACTTTTCGTACACAACAATAATCGGTTTACCTCGCTTAAAATAAAAAATTAAAAGAGTCAAAAATAAACTGTTTGTTATTCGTTGTAAAATGCATCCGATCTCTGACATTTTTTTTACAGAAGAAACATATAGTGTGTGATAGATATTTTAAGACCCTTCGGTTTTAAAGAGCCGAAATATTTTCAGTCTGAGTAGGATCAAATTTAAACCCGGTCATAACCATGCAATGCGCATTGATCAATAAGGATAAATACATATTTGTGTATATCGATAACGAATACGATATTACGATTTTCCGTAATAAGTATTGATACCGATATCGGTTAATATATCTACAAAGGTAGACAGACAGATGTTAATGAGCCTTTTATGCCTTAAACTCATCATAATATTTCTTCAAGGATTAGCTTTTCTCCTTACTCCTTTTTAATCGGTATTTAAACCTATTGCAAGGAATACGTCAGGCGATCTTCTACCTAATTGGCCTGTATTTTTCTGCGGTTATACTCAGCAAGAGAGTTGAGATTTTCTATAAACTCTAAAACTAGAAAGAATTTAATCTCAAATGGAAAGAGGTGACCTTTAGTGCCGCCTAACGACTGTCGGTTGAAATTAGAATGCGTCATTATGGTATTTCGAATGTAAGTTAAATTTCGCTAACGGGCTAATGGCGATAACGGTAGCTATCTGCACCTATGCCTTCTGGAGGCATGGGGCACGTGTTATCGACATACATACATAACGATAATATCGACAAAGCTTTCGTTAAATATATATGTCCATTTCAATCAAATTTAACCGAAGAAAGACTGGGTGCTTAGAGGTGCTCATTACCACCCGGCAGAGCCTAGGTTCAATCCATGGTCAGACCACTATGATAAGCAAAATGGTTTATACCTGGGGAACATAGCGGTTATGATCTTTACGATGAAAGTCATAATTCAACCGTGAAAATTGGATTTCTTATTTCCCGATCAAATTTAATAATTATTTTGTGATTGTAATTTTTCGATAAAAAAAAATAATTTGTTTTGGACTTCTATTTTTTCTCTAAAAAATAATCATTTCTTTGTGTTTCTTACTTTTTCGATAAAAAACAATCATTGTTTTTGGATTTATCTTTTTCGATAAAAAGTAATTGTTATTTTGTGATATTTATTTTTTGGATAAAAAATAAACGTTATTTTTGGGGTTTTTCGAAGGCGACGTAAAATAGTACATTTCTTCCATTTGTAACAAAATCAAGTCACTTACACTATGGACAACAAATGGAAGGTATTTTAAAGATCCCTATTTCAAAAATATTTTAAACAGGGTTGCCACATATTTTGAATCGCATTTAATTTGATTTTTTGTTTAGAAAAAAGGTAAAATATTACTATTGAGAGAAGGTTCTTAAACAATGCTTTCCCTATATACAAAATTGTATACCTTGGGATAGTAGTGTAAGGTTGCCACTTTTTTCGATTCTGCACAATTTATCTAAAACATCGCAATATGGATATCAAATGAAAAGTATTGTTGAGGACTTTGGTGAGAAAATATTTTCGATCAGGGTTGCCACCTAAATTTTTTATTAAGAAATAGATAGATATCGAAATTAATTTTTTTTTTTTTCAAACATATTTTTTTAAAGCTTTCCAAATGACCAGTCTTTGATATATAAACCTTGAAAAGTTTAAAAAGTATATGCACACCGGGCAAAGCTCGGTCAACCTGGTAATATGCATTTACATGAGGCGATTTGTTGACGGGCGATAAGCCCGCCTCATGTAAATGCAGCTTAAGGTAAATAGGAGAAACTCTGCCAGGCACTTAGCAATAAAAAACCATTCTATAAGAATTTTTCACTAATGAAGAAATATAAAACCGAAGGGGCAATCGATATCTATCTTCAATTTTTTACACATTTTAAGTAAAATTATACAACCTTAATGCCTTGTCGTTAATATTTCTTTCTTACTTTCTCATTTTTGCTCCCAACTATTTATTCAAAACTTAATCATCTTTCTTTATATTTTAGGTTTTCGTATTAATGCAATTCGATCCGGGCTTAGAGTATAAACCGGCCGCTGTGCGTGCGCCAGCTGGCGGTCGTGCTGCCAACACACAAGGCTCCGGGGTCGGTGGGGGTGGTTCAAACAAGGATGATAACTCTTGATTGTTACTGTGTAGCGCCTTAACTGATGGTCCTTACTCGTACATTTGAACAATGGAGCAAACGATCGGGTACAAAATAGCGCATTTCTGGCAATTAATAATCGGCAAAATATGGCAAAAATTTCTAAAGGCAATGCAAAATGTATCAAACAAAAAGTATTAGATAACACAACGGAAAGTTCGTGTTCTAAGTAGTATAGCCAAAGAAAACTGATTGTGAATTGGAAAAGAAAATTACCTATATGGAAAAAATAACAATTGTATGTAGTACTTGGCAGACCAAGTAAATGCGCTATTTTGTACGTTTATATTTGCACAGACATTCGCACAAGCGAACCTCAATGGTATTCTACATAACAAAATGAGGAATGACACCAAACTACTAAACAATTTTATATCGATTTAAAGCAAATGTCTTTGCAAATATAAAATAAAACTCCAATAAAAAAAAATATATACACCAAACTGATTCATTGGATCAGTAGAGTAAAATCCATCGTTCAAATGGTTTAAAGATTGCTTCCCACACCATTCCGTCAAACTCCTCTAACTTCTTGATAAATTTTTCTAAAATATATTTATAACCTGTATTTATTTTTATTTTAATTAATTTAAATAAAAAAAAATAACAAATTAAATTTTTTGCTTAAGTATATTATTTATTTAGTTAAACAAACATGTATTTTAATTTTAAATTCATCTTTAAATTTTTAGATAATTTTGCCATTTTTTCTTGACTGCACTTGCATCCTCTCCCATATAGAAAGACCTACCTTGTAGCTTAACTTTTAAAGTTAAATCGTATAAATATTTACAATAAAATCTAGTTATGTATGAACTTTTCCAGAGAAAAAAAAACTTGATTGTAGCTGTGTAACCATAGCTTTTTAACAAATTTTATGTTGTTATTATTTTATATATTACATATTTGTTGTTGTGCGGAATTACTTATAAGGACATACGCATATATATGTATATGTTTAAATACATCAAAATTATTGCTAAGACACACAAGAGATCGCCTGCACACCTACACAGAATATGCTGTTGTGAAAAATCGAAAATGTTTTCATGACTATTAAATTTTTGTTCAGAGAAATTATCTAGTTCGTTCTGTACTTATCTTTGAAGAACTCGCCGTTCGTTCGCTGTACAAAATTTCATAACTCAAGAAAAACGGCTTCTAAATTTTTAGTAAAGTTTTTCCTTTAAAATAAAATAATAAAAAAAAAAAATTTTATTCATAAAGATAATGCGAAATTTTATTGCAGAGTATAAAGCTATTAGCGAGTTGCTTACCTTGTGATCAAACTGTAGTTGCTTCAGTTGCCACTTTAGCAAAATTTAAGGTAGTAAAATTGCAAAAAAGACAAAATAAGGATATTCTTATGAGATATCTTAAAGGGCAAACATCGATAAAAACATTTTTTTTTTATAATTATGACATTCTTGCGGGATATTACCGAAAACTTTTTGAACTCAAATATGACTTTTTTATAGAGCTTTCGGAAGGCAATGGCATAGTTTCTGGTTACACCGCTTTTCTGGCTTTCAGCAAGCGACTCAGTTGTATGCTTATAAAATGGAAGGCAGGTGTAGGTGACCTAGCCAATTTTCGCTATTTGACTCAATGACTCTAGCTCAGTTTTTTAAGTCAACTCAGTGAGGTATCATAACTAATTTATAACTCATTTTCTTGGCTTTTCAATTAAGTCGCGGTTTCAGTCAACATTTTCCACATATTTTATTCTTTCTTCTTCTTTACTTTTACTATTAATTCTGAGTTCGGACTCAACCAATTGACTCACTGGTCAAAAAAAAAATAACTGAACTACTGCGTCACAATATTTTTGGAAAGTGAGTCTGAGCGTGCGGCTCTTTGCTAGGAGTCAGCTCACTAACTCAACTCGGTGCTGAGCTTGAAAATCTTGGCGCTGAGTTCAAACTTTAATTTCAAGCGGGCGCTTTCGTTGCTTTAAAGATCCGTTCTAAAATTGACAAGATACATCACCATGCTTGACTTTGCCAATTCTGATCTTTCTGGGTTTATGAGACGTTAGCGAAGTTAAAAACAACTGCTGTTATCTAAACTCCCCAACAAGCTTTTCAGGCGTTATGTCTTTCGGCGTTCAAGCCGATTATTTAGTTAAAGCCTTCGATGAAAGAATAGCGTTCTTTTGTGTGTCTAAAAAAACTAGTCCCGTAAGCTCAAAGCAAAACAAATTTCATTGTTTGAAACACAAAATATCGTTTTATTTTAATTCTAAAAAGTTTTTTATTTATTTTTAGTTTCATATATTTTATTTTTATTTCTTTGTACTTATGTAGTTTCAAATAAATATTAAATATATGAATCCAATTTCTTATTCAATATTGGCTTGGAGTAGCACTTCATTTTCTAAAATTTTTCACAAATCAATATTTTTTATGTATCTATTTATTATTGTAAATGGTTGTGCATAAGACTAATATCTTTTAACCAATTAGGAAATTTGAACGCGTATGGTTTGTTCTCTCCAGAGTTGGACTGGTAAGGGCTATTTTTTGAAGCGGGGCCGAAGACTGCCAACGCTTAATGGTTTTCTGCGCAAAAATAGTGTGGTCATGATTTTGTGTATGCATGAATTTATCATAGGAAAATTTTTGTTTTCAAGAGAAAGTTAGAAAAAAAGTTATCCGCAAATTTTTAAGTTCGAAAAAAATGTTTTTCCAGCAAGTTTTAAAGTGCGAAAAAAAATTGTTGGTGTTTTTAAATTTATTGACTGTACAATGCGTTATTATTATTATTATTTACATTTTGATGGGGGGCTTTGTTTAAATTTTTGTCAAAATTTTTGAGTTCAGAGTGGCGAGAATTTTGAGGGTTTCTTGATTTAAGGAAATTCTTCTGATGAAAAGTTTTCTTCTGTTGCCTTGCTCTTTGGCGTCACTTTTTATTTTAAATTCCGTAATATTTCAATTTCGTTTTCGTTATTATTTCACTATTTTATTTAGTACATATTTCATTTTTAACTATACATATGTGTATATTTATAAGCTACCAAAACATACTGCTCTAAAACGTTCGACTACAATTCGATAAAATCGTTTATTTAGCAAAAAATAAAATTATTACATACTACTTCAAAAACCATCTCAAAATTACGCATACATATACAATATATTGGTGATCGACATATTGCTTACAAATTTTGTTAGAGAAAATATGTACTCAGTAGCATAAAGCACATTCATATGCACCTATTTCCACTCACTCCCCATACATCCCATGCGATTTATTCGATCAGCGCTTTTGCACTCATTTCACTATCGAAAAGCTAAGAAACAAAAAAAAAAAAGATAAATAAATAAAAGCAGCTTTGAACACCGCCTCACGGCCTTACGACTTCACCACGATTTCGTAGTACACGCACCGCCATAGCGCGCATCAAACATTTCAATAAACCATTAACTTCACACCAACAAAATCGGGGGAGGTAGGTATGTATGTATGCATAATAGAAAATATGTATGTATGTATAGTAGATACATCTTGTGCTTCATATATAACATTATCTTAAAGCATTTACCACCATTTTCACTGATAACTTACATGTGTGCCACTTTTTTCTTAATATTTCAATATTTGTGCACTGCCGTTGGCTACGCAAAGAGTTCGTACACAATTCCTCATCACTTGGCAAATGCGTAACAAAAAGACATATTCAAAGATACTCATAATGCACATTTCAATTATCGTAATTTACGTTACATTACGTTATTGTCATTTTTTCTACAATTCCTACGTTCATTTACGTTTACATCAGTATTGCTTTTTATTTTGAATGTTTATTATCATCTCTGAGTTTCAACTAAGTTCATCTAATCGACGAAATATCAAGGAACAACAAGCAAGTAAAAGCGAGTCAATGGTGTGACGTAAGCAACTGGGAACCATTAGTGAGGTTAGCTACACATTAAGCAAAGGTATTACAAAGTACTCTCGGTAAAAAAAAAAACGAGAAAGTCAAAAACAAAAAAAAACCCGAAAGCAAGTGAGTCAACAAAGCTACAACTATACAACCTACTGAAAACTACAAGTCAAACAACAATCAACACCAAATTTAGTAGAGTAACAAAGTAATAGAAAATTAAAGAAATACAAAAAATATGCAGGTGCGAAATACCACTAAAACTCGAGAGTCAATCTCATCCTAAAATGGCTAAATTTTAAAAGCGATTAACGCTGCACAAAACAAAGCCGCGCTCACACTCGCAGCAAGCAGGCGCTGTTGATGACATTTAGCGAGTACGAGTGATGGGAGAGTGAGTAGTGTCCATGCTTTCGCGCGTAAATACTTACAAAATGGAAAAGCATTGGCTTAGTACACTGCTTTGCAATACAAATTCTAAACAATTGTAATATACAGTACGCATATACATATTTGTATCTATGTATGTATGTAAAACTTAAACAACACACACAAAAAAAAACACTTATACTAACTTGTACTTACAAACTAAAATGAACAAAAAAGCAACAATTACCTGTACGTATTCCAACTTTAAGCAAAGAACGAAATTAAAAAATGCATACAAACAAATATAACCAATTGAAGAAATTGCGTTTATGTTAACCATCTTAACACTAATACAACTAAACAACAAAAACAACAAACTGCAGTTTGAAATTGGCACATGCACATTTATTTTTAATTGATTTAATCATGTATTGGTGACAGCGTACATTAGGCTGGTCCAAAGTAAGTAAAGTCGGAATTTTAATGCTCTCACCCCGTAGGGTTGCATTTTATAAGGGCAAAAACCATTTTTAGTAGCAATGGTATAGAATTCTTTAAAGTCAATATTTTTCGATCGAAAAACTCTGATTCACTTTAGGAGATTTCTGATAATAATACCCAATTGTTTATTTCCAAGAGTCCAAGTTGTCTTTCTAAACCTCTAAATATTTTTTGATTTCAAAATAAAACAGGGGTGCATTTTTTTATAGAACCATAAATTCCGACTTTACTTTTTCACATGCAATTTTGGACCACCCTAATGTGCAAAAATGTTTATTCCTTAATCAGAAAACTCATACACACATGCACATGATCTGTGCATTTGAAAACCCTCGAAGCTTGATTTTCGAATTTCGTAAAACTTTGCCAATTTAGAGAAAATTATTCAGTCTCATATCAGTAGCTGAAAGAGAGTCAACACTTTATTGCCGCTAGTTCACGCCCTGAATAAAATAAGAATAAAACCATTACTGAATAAGTTAGCAATTGAGGCCATTAAACATTAAACCCATATATATATGCATGTAAGTATATATATATTTTTTTTTACCCGAGTTTCAAACATTCTCATTTAAAAAAGCACTGTGGGTTTACTTACATACAATTAAAGTTGAAAATGTGTTTTTTTTTTTTTTAACTAAATATAATGATTTTCTGGACTACTTGATATGAGGCAGGTCTCTTGCAAGCATCCAACAAAAATCTCCAAACATACGAGGTCTCCATTTGGTATTCTATCGTTTTTCCATGCTGAAAATATCCTAACTAATGGAACTTCTCTGTATGTTAGTCGCCAATGGCACCTGGGTTCTCGGGCAAGTAGTCCAGGAG